TAGATTGTAGGCAATTGTTATAATTTCTTCTTTAAATGGTTGGTTGAATTGATCAGTGAACAGATCTGGGCTGGGTGCTTTCTGTTTTGAAGGATTTTAGTTATTAATTCTCATAATATATATAGACCTACTAAGATTGTGTGTCTCTTCTGAGTTTTGGTAAGTTTTGTCTTTTGAGGAGTTGGTCCATTTCATCTAGGTTATTAAGTGTGTGCACAGAGAGTTGTTCCTAGTATGTCTGTATTAGTCTTTTAATGTGCACAGGATCTGCTGTAGTAATGTCCCCTTTTTTATTTTTGATATTTGTAATTTCTTTCATCTGTCTTTCATTCTTAGCCTGGCTATGGGCTTATTAATTTTATTGATCTTTTCAAAGAACTGCTTTTTGAGTGTTGCTGTTTATTATCTTGGTTGACTTGCTGTTTATAATTTATTGATTTCTGCTCTATCTTATTATTTCTTTTCTTCTGCCTCCTTTGGATTCAGTTTGTTCTTTTTTTCTAGTTTCTAAAGGTAGAAACTTAGGTTATTTTAGGTGTTTTTTCTTTTCCAATTATTCATTCAGTGCTATCAAAGCACAGCTTTTGATTTAATCTAACTTATTTTGATACCTGTGTTTTCATTTTCATTTGGTTAAATATTTTTTAATTTCTCTTAAGATTTTTTTCTTTGACCCATGTATTGTTTTATTGTTGTCACTTCATTTCACTTATACACAATCTTACATAACTGTGTATATATGTGTGTGTAAAAGCATAATTGTATACATTGTTACTATTGTTATTGTATACAACATGTTATCTGTTATATCAATTAAGAAAAATAAATGTTTTTATTTTACCTGCACTTATTTCTTTAATGCTCCTTGCTTATGTAGATCCAGTTTATCTTTTTCTTCTCTCTAAAGAAATTCTTTTAACATTTCTTGCAAGACAGTTTATACTAGTAAATTTTCTTCATTTTTGTTCATATGATAAAGTCTTATTTCTCTTTCACTTTTGGAGGATGATTTCACAGGGTGCAGAACTCTAGGTTGGTGGATTTCTTCTCTGAACACTTTGAATATTTCACTCCACTCTCCTTGTCTGTATGCTTTCTGAGATGTTTGATGTAATTTTCATTTTTGTTTCTCTATAAGTAAGATGATTTCTCCCTACTTCTGGCTTTTTTTCAGATTATTTTTTATCTTTGATTTTCTGTAGTTTGAAAGTGATATGCCTAAGTGTAGATGTTTAGAATTTATCTCTTTTGGTGTTCTCTAAGCTTCCTGGATCTTGGTTTCATGTCTGACATTAATTTGTGGAAGTTCTCAGACATTATTGTTTCAAATATTTCTTTTGTTTCTTTCTCTCTCTCTCCTCTTTCTGGTGTACTTATGAGTCTATGGTACATCTTTTGTCATTTTCCCAAAGTTCTTGGATATTATGATCTGTTCCCATGCATCTTTTTTCTCTTTGGTTTTCATATTTTGAAGGTTCTATTGATTTATCCTCAAACTCAAAGATTCTTTTCTCTCAGTTTCATTCATTCTAATAAGCCAATCAAAGGTATTCTTCATTTCTGTTACGGTATTTTTGATCTGTGGTGTTTGTTGTTGTTGTTGTTGTTGCTCTTGATTTGTTTATTTCAAAGAACTTTTTATCTCTCTGCTTACAATGCCCATCTGTTGTTGAATGCTGTCTACTTTATCCATTTAAACCTTAAACTAATTTGTCAGAGTTTAAAAAAAAAAAATTCCATGTTTGAGAATTTTAATATTATAGTCATTTCTTCTGATGCTTGCTCTGTCAATCCAAATTGTGGGGTTTCTTTTGTCCTTTTGAATGCCTTGTAATGTTTTTCTTTATAGCCAGACATGGTGTACCAGGGGAAAGAAACTGCTTTAAATATGCATTCAGTAATGTGGTGGTAAGGTGTGGAGAAGGGGAGCTGTCTTAGTTTGTTCAGATTTCTATAACAAAATACCTTAAAGTGGGTAATATAAAAACAACAGAAATTTATTGCTTCCAGTTCTGGAGGCTGCAAAGTGTAGGATCAAGGTTCTAAGGTATTCTGTGTCTGGTGAGAGCTCATTCCTCATAGATAGCACCTGGCTTGTGTCCTCACATGGTGGAAGGGACAAAGAAGCATTCCTTGGCCTTTTTTAAATAAGGGCACTAATACCTCTCATGAGGGATCTGCCCTCATGACTTAATTGCCTTCCAAGGGGCCCATCTCTTAATTCTGGTGCATTGTGGATTAGGTTTCAACATGTTAATTTGTGGGGACACAAACATTCAGACCCTAGCAGAAAAGTTCTATAGGCTTATGATTAAGTCTCATCATTTTAATGAGCCTCTGTGTTTGGACTGTAAACTTTAGAAGTATACTCAGTTTGTTTTTATTGTTTTTTTCTTTCCCCTTCAGTGGGACAGGATGGCTAGATTGAGCCAGAATTGGATATTTGTCTTCTTCCATATGGAAAAGCTAGAGTGGGTTGGAATTTAGTATTTTCTTACACCCAGGTTATTTAGGCTGTGATAATAGTACCACAGGTTAGGCTGGTTAAGTAGTTTTAACTAAGGGCAGGCCTTGTTAAGAACAGAGTGTTCTGGCATAATTAAAAATGGTTTGCCTTTTCCTTTCACAGATGAAGCGGAGGGTTTTTGTTTTTGATTTTTTTTGTATGTTTGTTTTGTTTGGTGGCTCATTTATGACCAAGTTCCCCTAGAGTGAGTTTCCTTGTTTTGGCAGCTGGCTGGTATGGGGATCTGAATCCTCAATCTTGGTCCCCTCGGTTCCCTAGAGTTTTTAACCCTCAGAGTTGTCTACACTGAGTCTCCATCAATTTGTCAGTTACAACTCAGGTATTCCTGCTCTTACACTTTTTCTCGTGGTGGTTTCCAATAGTAAATCTCTGCTCCTGTAATCCATGACTCTGTATATTTGGCTGTCTGCCTCTCAAATCTTGGGGGCAGTGATTTGCCCTTTGTCCCTCTCATGGTTCCAGGAAGTTGATTTTTCAGTCTCCTCAACTTTGTATTTGTTGTTATGATGAAGTGATGATTCCACTCTTTTTGAGCAGGAATAGAAACGTGGAATACATTTCTAAAAGTACCATCTTAATGTCTATGTAGATAGTCAAAGGATTTTGCTTCATACAACTACATAAATGATGAAATACATTGGTAGACTTCTTAATACTGAGTTTTTCTTTATTCATGAGAAAATTCCTTTCTGGTCTTCATAGTCTATTTCTGTTTTTCTATAGTTAAATATTAATGTTTTTGCAGATCCTGTACTTTTTTTCTTTTTATTTGATGTTATACATTTATTAACTATGGTGACCTAAGATACCATTGAAATTCTTATTCTTTACAAATATTTATCTTCAGCTTAGATCTCTCTCCTGAACCCTGGAATCACGTATCCAATTGCCATTTGGAAATTCTCACAGATATTTCAGATATAATGTGTGCAAGTCTTTGTCTTTTGTGCTCATTATATTCTTCTTCCATTTTCCTAATTTCACTTTACAGTGCCAGCACCTAAGTAACTGAGATGATGCAGATAGCCTTGGAGTTAAAATTCTTTCATTCTCTGCACAGCAAATTAGGACCAAATTCTATTTCTGCTTTTACTTTTTTTTTCTTCTTTTTTAAAGGATGCCTTTCCTATTCTGTATGCTTACTGCTCTGTGTCCTGATGTAGGTAGTCATGTGTCACCCTGTTTTTTCCTCTCTGACTCTCCCTTCAGTCCTTCCCTTTTGTCCTTCTAGAGGATGAGTGTTGAAATGCAAATCTGGACACGTGATGTATTAGTCCGTTTTGTGTTGCTATAACAGAATTACCGGAGACTGGGTGATTTATAAAGAAGAGAGGTTTATTTGGCTTATGACTCTGGGACAGCTGCATCTGGCATGGGCCTCAGGCTGCTTCTACTCATGATGGAAAAGTGGCAGGCAGCTGGCGGGGATGAGCAGATCACATGAGGGAGGAAGCAAGACAGGGAAGCAAGAGGAAACGAGAGAGAGAGAGAGAGAGAGAGAGAGAGAGAGAGAGAGAGAGAGAGAGGGTGCCAGGGTCTTTTGAAGTAACGAGGTCCGGCAGGAACCAATTGAGCGAGAACTCAGTCATTAATCTGCCCTGCCCCAGGGAGAGCATTAATCCATTCATGAGGAATCCGCCCCCGTGATTCAATCAGTTTCCAACACTGCCACATTGGGGATCAAGTTTCTACATGAGTTTTGGAGGGGACAACACGTCCAAACTCCATCACGTGACTTTCCTGTTCTAACAGGGCCTTATTATTTATACCTTGTGGTTTGAAAGTGGCAGTGTTCACCCTGGTGTGGACAAAAGCAGTCTTTTTGCACTGCAGTAATTAAAAATCAACAATGAGTGCATACAATTTTTTGCTACTTCATTCAGCTCAAAGTGTGTTTATCTCATCACAGCCCAGGATTATTCACTGAGACGTGGTGCTGTGTGTAGTACCATTATAGTAGTATGTGTGTTTTGTGTCCTTGTGACTGGACTTTTGCTGTTTCCTCGTATTTATAAGAACATGGAAGAGCTAAACATTTCAGTGAAGTGCAAACTGAATACAAAATACAGTTTTAGTTTCCCATTCTTTCTTACCCCAGTCTATATTGAACTTGTGTCTAAATTAGATCATCTAATGCATTATTTCATGTATGTATTTATAGTTATGTCTTCATACCAGGTCGTAAGCTCCTTAGAGAAGCAGAGTTTTATTCTTACTTTTATCTGTAGCAATAAGGATCACTCTAGATCTAAAAGGTAAATTTTTAATATTTTTTGTAATTGATAAATTATTACAATGGCTGAATGTTCCTTCTGTGATTTTTCTTTCTTCCACCATATGGAATACAAAGAAGCTGCCTGCATCTTATGTAAGATACATATGAAACATGCACAAAGAGAAGTGTGAACTTCCAGATTCTTGTTTTGTGACCTGGGAATGGTGACTTGAATTGAGGAGAGATGTGCTGTTACAGGGGTTGGTGTTGTTTGAGGATGTGGCTGGGGACTTCACCTGGGAGGAATGGCAGGACCTGGATGATGTTCAGAGGACTTTGTACAGGGATGTGACGCTGGAGACCTACAGCAACCTTGTGTCATTGGGTGAGTGAGTCTTGGCAGTAAGTCCCAGGAGCAATAATACTTTTCTGTGATTCTTGATAAATATAGGAACCACATATAAGGTTTAATGCTATTTAGGTAAGATCCATTTCATGAAGAATGTGAGTGTCATTCCTCTATAATAAAAGTTCAAATTGGCTCCTTCATCGAACAGCTTTTGAAGCTGAGCTTTTACAATTTTTCCAAGGATCTGACATAACAATTTGGCAAAGTTCTATGTTATTTTCAATTAACAGGGCACTGCATTACCAAACCTGAGGTGATCTTCAAGTTGGAGCAAGGAGGAGAGCTGTGGACTACTGAAGAGCCCCCAAACCAGAGCCTACAAGGTCAGCACAAGGGCAGGGAGGCTGGGAAGAGTAAAAGCCAACAGACATTGGCATCGCTCAGCTGTTTTTACCAATATTTTTCTCAGGTTTCAGGTCTAAGAATAGCTGGTGTATGTACATCAAGCACATGTATTTAATAATCTTCAAAGTGGGCTCTCACACTTATTCCCCAACCTTGTATTTGCTGAATATTTTTTAGTCCTCACCCAGAATCTAATCCTTCCCTATCTCTTTGTAAACCTTTTTCTGTGTTGTTTGCTTTCTCAGTGTTCTTAATTGCTTTCTTTTTCTCTCTTCTTGTTGTCAGTTTTTCTTTTTTCACACTGTTATTAGTTTGTTTCCTGTTACTTATAACAATACCTTAAACCAGGTAGTTTATAAGAAAACAAAATTCATATCTATCAGTTCTATAGGCTGGGAAGTCCAATTTTTGGGAGTTGCATCTAGTGAGGGCTCTCTTTCTGGTGGAGACTCTCAGCTGAGTCTGGAGGTAGTACACAGTATCACACCATGAGTAATGAATTAATCCATTCACAAGGGCATAAATCTCACTATCCAGCCATGTCTGAGAAGCCACAACTTTCAACACTGTAGTCAAACTTCCCACCCTCTTAATACTGTTAAAGTAATGGTCAGGCTTCAGTACATGTTTTGAGGGGATATTCACACTATAGCACAGAGATTTATTCTTACATTCATTTATTCTTTTAACACATATTAATTGAGTAGATATTAAGCGTCTGTAATTTTATGGTTGTGCTTATAACATCAAAGATCTAAATAATGTCCCTTTTTCATAAAGTTTACTTCTGATGAGAGAGAAGCAAGAAAATAATACATGTTAAGTAGTTGTATAAGAATCATGAGGAATATTTAATGACAGAGAGAGAAAAATGTGAGCATTGGGGAAGGATTATCCGAGAAGTAAGTTTAAGGAAGATTATTAAATGCTTACTTTGACATAGCTTCAATTCAAGTGAACTTGTTTTTTGTTTTTGTTTTTTTTTCCTTTTTGTCTTTTTTACTGACCAGTAACGGGATGCAACCCTCGGTGTTGCACCCGCACCGCGCTCAGCCAGTGAGCGGGAACCGGTCTCCACATGGGATCCGAACCCTCAGCGGGAGCGCCACCACACTCCCAAGCGGCGCACTCTCCAGTGCGCCACCGGACCGGCCCCAAGTGAACTTGTTTTTAATCTTGACATAATACGTACTTAAATATAAAATCTAAATTTGAGAATGGACGTCACTATCAGAAATAAGAAATAAGAAGTCAGTTGTCTAAAGCAGGCATTTAAAGTCATAGTCACTGAGGAAGTCACCTGTGGAGTTGATCAGAAAATGAGACAAGAGGTCCAGAAGTGAGCATTACCTACCATGAAGTAAGAAATCATGAAGCAGAGGAGGACATAGCATAGGAAAGGGCTGGTCCTAGACTTGGGAGGAGAAGTAGGAGATTCTGGGTCCCAAGGCCACATGAAGGGTGTCATGTTCAGGGGCTCAGATTTCTGGTAGGAAGTGGAGTTTGAAGTCAGCATTTTCTCCTTCTCTTTGTGGAAGTCATTCTAAAATAACAAAGAAAATGAAAAACGTATGCAAATCTCCATCTTTTATTAAAGTAGGAGATAGCTGAATCTCCAGTGCACATAACAAAAGCCTTCAGAAATGTGGATTATCAAGCAGGAGTGCATGCACCTGAAATTGGGGGAGACTGCCAGTTGATCTGAGAAGGAGCTAGAAAAACATTTAGCAAGGCTGGTGAGCACAGCCTGGGTTGCAGAACAAAATCTTTTTGACCAGCAAGGAAGGGGTACCCAGGATGGTAAACTGAAGCTCTCTGGGAAGCAGAGAAAGTCAGGTTAAATAAGAAATTTGGAGGGAGCAGTTTTTATCTACTGTGGGAAAAAGGATATTTCTTATTTGAAAAAACCTCAGATACCTTTAGACATTCCATGGTGATAAGTTAAGACTTAACAAACATAGATGCAAGGCCAACATCCTGGATAAGTGACAAATAATTGGCCTTACCTGAAAGTAGCTGATGCTGCAAAATCTTGCCATGTTCAGAGCAGAATAATGAGATAAAGAGCAGCCTGAGACACCCACTGTGAAAAGAGTAAAATAGTGAACAGGGTGGACAAATGGCTTGTGATAAGTACTTTGTTAGAAACTATGACCAGGTGAATTGTCTAGTAAGTATTTTCCTCTTGAATTAAAAAAGTAGACAAGGATGCAAAGAGTAACATAACTGGACATTAGAAAATACATTAATATAATGTATTACATTAAGTACATTGAAAAGATATGTACTTATAAAACCTTACCCATTATTAATTTTTAAACAGTTTTGTGCCACTAGGATTAAAAGAAAATGATTTGCTTTAATATGAGCACATAATGAGCAGTGCTCATGTGTGGTACACTGATATGTTTTGTTGTTGTTCGTGGGTTTTTTTTTTTATAGATTTCCACCTGGTCAATGACCTAATTGAGAAAAGTCAAGAAAGTCACAGTAGATATTTGTGGCCAGTTGTAATCACCAACAGCAAAACGTCAATTGAAGAGAGAGTTGAGTTAGAAAAAACATTTCACTTGAACTCAAACTGTGTTTCCAATCTGATTATAGAGAGTGGAAACTATTCAGAAATGAGGCTTGAGGAGTTTAGTGTCTGTTGGGATGTGCTTCTCCACAGAAAGCCTGGTGAGAAGCATGCTGCACAGAAACCTTATGACCATAATATAAGTGAGAAACCCAGCAGAAATAGTGAACATCTTAGTCAGCCTCCCAAGAATCAAACTGAAAGGCAGCAGCCTTGTGAAGATAGTGGACAAGAGAAAGCCTCCAGCACAGAGACAACATTATGTGTACATAAGAAGGATCATATGGGAATGACCGCCTGTAAACGTAATAAATATGGGAAAGCCTGTGGTAAGTCAGCTGTCATTGCCCAAGAGATAACTCAGGTAGGAAGAAAAACTTTTCAATGTGATGTATGTGGGAAAAAGTTTTATAAAAAGTCTAAACTCAGTAAGCATCAGAGAATACACACAGAAGAGAAACTGTATAAATGTAGTGAATGTGAGAAATCCTTCATTAAGAAATCATACCTTACCATACATAAGAAAACACATACGCGGGAGAAGGATTGTGGAAGTAATGAATGTGAGAAAGTTTTATATCAGAAGTCAGACCTTACTGTGCACCAGAGAATTTACACAGCGGAGGAGTCCTGTGGATGTAGTGATTGTGGAAAAACCTTTCACCAGAAGTCATTCCTAAGCAGGCATCAGAGAATTCATGCAAATGAGGAAACTGATAAATGTAATAAATGTAAGAAAACTTTCTACCATAAATCGTCCCTCAATAGACATAGAAGAATTCACACAGGGGAAAAGCCCTATGAGTGTAATGAATGCGGAAAAACTTTTCACTACAAGTCAAATTTCAGCCAGCATCAGAGAACTCACACAGGTGAGAAACCATATGAATGTAAAGACTGTAAAAAATCTTTCTCCCAGAAGGCAAACCTCAATGCACATGAGAGAACTCACACAGGTGAGAAACCATATGAATGTAAGGAATGTGGAAAAATATTTTGGCGGAAGTCACATTTAAGGATGCATCATATTTCTCACACAGGGAGAAAACCCTATGAATGTAATAAATGTGGAAAAACATTTTGGAGTGAGACAGGCTTCAGGTATCATAAGAAAACTCACACAGGTAAAAAACCGTATGAATGTAAAGAATGTAAGAAGTGTTTCTATAGTAAGTCAAGTCTCAGTACACATGAGAGAACTCACACAGGTGAGAAACCATATGAATGTAAAGAATGTAAGAAGTCTTTCTTCATAAAATCAGCCCTCACCATACATCAGAGAATCCACACAGGTGAAAAACCCTATAAATGTAATTATTGTGGAAAAACCTTTCGGGAGAAGTCAGGCCTCAGGAGACATCAGAGAATTCACACAGGTGAGAAACCACATGAATGCAAGGAATGTGGGAAAACTTTCTACATTAAATCACTGCTTAATGCACATCAGAGAATTCACACAGGTGAGAAGCCGTATGAATGTAGAGAATGTAGAAAATCTTTCTACAGTAAATCAGACCTCAGTGGACATCAGAGAGTTCACAGAAGTGGGAGAACATATGAATATAAAGAATGTAAGAAATCTTTCTTCAGAAAATCAGCCCTCACCGTACATCAGAGAATTCACACAGGCGAGAAACCATATGAATGCCAAGACTGTAAGAAAGCTTTCTACAGTCCATCAGCCCTGGCTGTCCATCAGAGAATTCACACAGGCGAGAAACCATATGAATGCCAAGACTGTAAGAAAGCTTTCTACAGTCCATCAGCCCTGGCTGTCCATCAGAGAATTCACACAGGCGAGAAACCATATGAATGCCAAGACTGTAAGAAAGCTTTCTACAGTCCATCAGCCCTGGCTGTCCATCAGAGAATTCACACAGGCGAGAAACCATATGAATGCCAAGACTGTAAGAAAGCTTTCTACAGTCCATCAGCCCTGGCTGTCCATCAGAGAATTCACACAGGTGAGAAACGATACAAATGTAATGAATGTAGTAAATGTTTCTCCACTAAGTCAGTGCTCACTATTCACCAAAGAACTCACACAGGTGAGAAACCCTATGAATGTAATGAATGTAGAAAAAGATTTTGCCAGCGGGGAGTTCTCAGTAGATACAAGAAAATTCACACAGGGGAAAAACCCTATTATTGTAAAAAGTGTGGAAGAGCCTTTCGCCGGAAGTCACACCTTTGGATTCATCAGAGAACTCACTCAGGAGGATCCATATAAATGTAAAAAATGTAGGGAAACTTTCTACCATAAGTCAGCCTCCGGTGGATATTAGAAAACTCCCACAGATGAGAAACCATATGAATGTAAAGAATGTAGGAAATTTTTCATCCAGAAGTCAGCCCTCACTAGACATGAGAGAATTCACACTGGGGAAAAGGCCTATGAATGTAATGAATGTGGAAAAAATCTTCATTGGAAGTCACCAGAGGGTGCATCAGAGAACTCACACAGAGGAGAAACCCTATACAGTTCCGTGGTATCCACTGGGATTGGCTCCTGCACCCCCTGCACATACCACAATCTGCTTGCAAGCTCCTTATATAAATGGTGTAGTATTTGTGTAATGTCGTGGTGTATAATTAACATGCTGCCTAGATTACTTTGAATAGTGAATCAATGTGAAGACTATGCAAATAACTGTTATAGTGTCTTTCTGTATTTGCATTTTTATTGTATTATTATTTATCTTTTATCAAATATTTTTGATCTGTTGATTGAATCTGTGGATATGGATGCTGTGGATATGGAAGGCTGGCTGTAATGAATGTGGAAACATCTTTTGTCAGAAGTCACACCTCACCAGACATCAGAGAATCAGGAGAGAAATCCTGAATGGCAGAGACTTGCTATTTATTTTTTAGATGCCAAACTATTTTCTTTTGTACACACAGCTAGCTTGCATTCTTAGCTTCCCTTTGTTGTGTGTGGAAACATGTAACTGAACTCCATTCAGGGGAATATGGACACAGATGACAAACATTACTTTCAGGGCTGGCAACACCACCACCAACAAAATCCCTATATAGTTCTTCCTGGTTTCTCATGCCCTTTGGGACTGAAGTGCAGATGATCACCAGGGAGGCCTTGGGAGCAACAGGTTAAAGAAGGCCACCAGGATTGAAGACATAAGAATTTGATTGTTGAGAACAGAAATCTCCCCACTTTTATTCCAAAACCCTCCATTTATACTTTACGTGGGTGAGAAATTTACTCTGTTGGGCCACTGTACCTGTGATCTGTTGCTTTACAACACAAACCGCCGCTGTAGCTAATTGACATTTTGAGCTTTCTGACAGAAGTTGCCAGTCCTTGTAGATGGAAGATTCACACAGGAGAGTAAGCTGTATTGTTCCCTTTTATTCTTATCAGTTTATGGAATAAATCAAAGAAATCATGAGGAGAAACAGCAACAAATTTTGAACCCCTTATCAGGAGGGACATCTCATTGAATACTGAGACTAAATTAAATCTTTATAAATATCTTTAATGTTTCAGCACTTTTAACAAAACTTCCAAGCATATTAAATATCAGAGAATTTGAAGTGGAAACTATCGACATATAATATGTATATAAGTTTTCAAAAAGAAATGATAAACATAGTATCTAAACTATTTTAAGAATATTTGACACTAGACAAATAGTTAAGTGATGATACTGCCTGCCAGGGGACATTTGCCATGTCTGGAGGCATTTTTGTTGTCACAACTGGAGGTTGGAAGGTGTTACTCCATCTAGTGCGTAGAGGCCAGGGATGCTGCTAAACAGCCTACAGTGTACAGAACAACCATCTCAAGTATGTAGGGTTTATGCCTATAAGTATTCTATTTAACAGGAAGTTTTCTTAGTGGAACCACACGTAAGTGTAGGTGGAGATATATACGCTTAGCATAATATATTTACTTTAAGATTGTATCTTTACATTAAATGCCATTCTAGTCTCTTTATAGCTTGTTAAGTATATTAAGTCTACAGTATTGCTCTACACAGTTTTTGTACTCTCCTAGTGTATGTAAATTTCTATGATCATTGTTAACAAACTGTCTCAAGTAGAGAAATAAATTTTTTCCAAAGTTTGAAGCTAACATCAAGCCATCTGATGTGTCTAGTAGAAACATTTCTATAGAAATGAGCAAATCAGGTACATAACTGTTAATCTAAACAGCTGTGAACAATATTACTCATTTTGTTCTATGCAGTGAAATGCAGTCTCTAAAAGAAAAATTTCCCCTTTTTGTTCCTACTTTTCATATCTTTAAATGTGACAAGAGCATAGTTATGAGCACCAAGTGCTGTGTAACTGTTTTTGTGGTAATGGAATGCTGTGTGTGCCTTGCCACTGATAGAGGGGCAGCCTGGTGAATCCCACCTCTGTTCGTATAACTTCGTATAATGTATGCTATACGAAGTTATTACGAGAATAGCTGGTGTATGTACATCAAGCACATGTATTTAATAATCTTCGAAGTGGGCTCTCACACTTATTCCCCAACCTTGTATTTGCTGAATATTTTTTAGTCCTCACCCAGAATCTAATCCTTCCCTATCTCTTTGTAAACCTTTTTCTGTGTTGTTTGCTTTCTTAGTGTTCTTAATTGCTTTCTTTTTCTCTATTCTTGTTGTTCTGGGATTATTTCTTCCACTCAGTAACAGGGATAGTAGGACCTGTCCCCCAGGGTTATTGTGAGGAGTAAATTAGATAAAGTGAGTTGGATATTACCTGGTACCTAATAAACAATGTATATTCTGTAGCTATGATGGTATTTGTTGTTATAACTTATAAAAATTTCTCTGTAAGAATTTGGTAGTTGGCAATAACTGTTTGGGTACCCCAGAGCCATCTCTCACTTTTTGGTGAAGTCTTGATTTGGTTTTGTTACCCACTTGTACAGAAGAGTCATTCAGGCATTGATCTTGGTTGACCTCTTTATGATTAACTCAGGCTAATTTTTTCTTTAGTGGTCTTTTAGGGGTGAACATGCAACCCCATTATGTACAGTGTCATACTAGAAGGATTCTGTGATATGTCTGGCAAAGTCTCCTCAAAGGGAAAGAGACATAGAAAAGATGGTTCTTCTGCATCAGGACATGATGTTTGTGGCCCTGTCCCCTGATAGCATTTTGTGGCATGCAGGTGTGGGGCCTGAGAGTGGCAGGACAGAATGCTGCAGGACCAGCATGAATGAAGTGATGGGCCACTGAAATACCTAACTCAGCAGCTGCTCTGTTTGGGGACATTTATGCAGAGCATTAGCTTTTTTGTTGCATAAGAAATAGCCACCAACGTATTGACTCAAAACAACATACACTTACTATCTCAAGATCCTGTGCTCGGAATCTGAGAATTCTGTAAGCAGGATGTTGGCAGGGCTGCATTCTTATCTGGAAAACTCTCACCTGGGCAACGCTCTGCTTCTGAGCTCATGCAGGTTTGGGCAGGATTTGTTTCCTTGAGGACATATGACTGAGGACCCCTTACTCACTGGCTTCTTACTGGAGGCTGCTCACATTTTTGTGCCTCTCCGTAGGCAGGGCACACAGAGCTCATTGCTTCTTTAATGTTAGTGAGGGAGAGCTTTACTCTAGTCTGCTAGGATAGTCTTTAAAAAAAAAAAAAAAAAAGATGACCTGTAAGGGGATCTTAGCCCTTGACTTGGTGTTGTCAACACCACGCTCTCCCAAGTGAGCTAACAAGCCATCCCTATATAGGGATCCGAACCCACGGCCTTGGTGTTATCAGCACCACACACTCCCAAGTGAGCCATGGGCTGGTGACCACAAGGGTAACAACCCTGCACCTTGCCATATTCTGTTGAATAGAGCCTGAGCACAGGTCTCATCTATACTCCAGGGTGGAGGATTACATGACGGTGTGACTCAGGTCACATCAGGGTGTGAGCCACGTGCATATTTTTATTTGGGGAGGAGGGGCAGTGAAGTTATGGGTTTTTTCATCAAGCAGAAGGTATCTAAAATGACAGGTTAATTTTATAACATTGCATACTGCAATTGTGAGGTAGAATTACTACTTATCATAAATTGCTTCACGGATACCTGTTAATGCATCCTTGATAACCTCAAGCAATAGAAATCTTGTTTATTATTCCATTGTTTGGAGGAAATGTGTTTGTATATTGATAAGCTTTCGTATAAATAGAACATTTTGTTTGGAATACAGCATGGTGTCTGGCCTTTCTCTTCTTTAAACTTGAATACAGATATGACTGACATTGAATTGTTCATTAATACCTCCTCATAGTGTCACATGACTAGATTTGGTGTATAGTTGTAATCTAACTTTACCACCTTTTGACATTATTATTACTTATGACTAATGTACTCCTGATGTTCTGTTTATGTGCACAGGCTGCTGTAACAAAATGCCAATCTGTATGATTTAAACAACAAAGATTTTTTCTGCACATTTCTGAAGCTGGAAAGTTCCAAATCCAGGTGCTGACTGGTTTGTTTCTATTAAGGCCTTCCTGGATTGCAGACAGCTGCCTTCTCACTGTTTCCTCATGTGGCCTTTCACCATTGCTCAGCAGAGAGAGGGGGGGAGCGAGAAAGCCCTGGTGTTTGTTTTGTAAGGACACAGCAGTCTTTAAGTATTCAGGCTTGCCTAATTACATCATTTATCCATGAGTACCTTCTTGACGTATCTGTCTCCAAATACAGTTGCATTTGGGGTTGGGACTTCAACATATGAGTTTTGGGAAGGCACATTCAGTTAACAGCCACTTAATTGAAATACAGTCTTCACTGATTACCATGTTATAATTTGGAGTGGCTATTGTTTTTGTCCAACATTTCTTTCCACATTATCTTAGTATTAGGACAGCTTTGTGACCACAGGGGCATCACGTGACCCACATGTGACAGCCGTAATGCTGCATGTCCAGGCCTGCATGGTGAGTTCTATCCAATGTGGGTGGTGGATCCTCCGTGCCCTCTGTACTCATTGTAGTCACAGACCTGTTTGTGTGTGGGCCTGGCGCTGCAAAGGTCTGTTTATGGGTGGAGAGAGGCTGTGAGCCTAAGGTCCAGGCAGTCTGGACACCTCTGAGATCCTCACCATGTGCCTCTTGCTGTGATTGCTACTGGACCCAGTGTATTTTCTATCTTTCCTGTCTCTTTTAAAATACTCTCATGAAGTGGGTTACTACTATTTACAATTGTCCTAACTTGACCAAATTTATCTGGCCTGTGCCTTACCTATTTTTAATTTCACTGAACTATAGTTGTGCATAAATATAATGTCTAAAGTTATAGTAGATTTTCACTTTTTAGTGTGGAGTAAATCTTTTTCATTACATTGATTCTTAGTTTTATTTTAAATCATGTCAACTTCCTTTCCACACTTACAAAGCCCTATCTGAATTTTGATTGAATTTGCACTGAACTTAGATATTACTGGGCATCCACTTGGGCTGGAACACTTCATCTAGGTGGGGTGGGCCATTCCTAGGAGACCAGGCTACAAATGCAGTGTTGGGGATACAATTCTATATTTAGTGTTGGGGATACAATTCTATATTTAACAGATCTGCAATATAACCACTGCCATTTTAGACAAGCCCAAGTACAAAATAGCAACATCCACCTCCTCCCCTCCCCTCCCCTCCCCCATTCTCTTTTACAAGAAGCCTCATGGTTTCAGAGAAAATGAAACTTGGTATTTCTGCATGTGCAGAACTCTCCATTCCCATGACCTAACTCAATCCCCACCTCGGAATTACATCACCCAGCTCTTGGCACCAACATACCAATATAAGCTCCCACTCACTGCCCTGTGTTAGCCGCTGTCCCCTATTTTCAGGGCAGTCCCAGGCTGTCCTCCATTTTGAGTACAGCCTGGCAGATTTCTTTCTTTAATAAAGCTTGAACAGTACCCAGCATCTCAGCTCATTTTCTTTCATTATGGTGCCCAAATCCAGGAAGGGCCCTGGCTGGACCATCAGATGATCCCCTCTCTCTCGGGTTCATTGGCTCCTGGCCGCCCTTCCCAGACCTGCCAAAACTGGATGCCTCTGGGACTCTCACGGTAAATGCATCCAACACCAGTCTCAATTCAGGGTGAGTCAGTGGGTCTGTCCCGCCTACTTCTACCAGTTCCCCCGACTACTCTCGATGGCTCCGGTCTCTGTGAAGCCCAGGCGCCTGGCCAAAGGAACTCTTCTTGTGCCCCCCAGCTATTGGAGGATGCTCCTCTAGCTGGTCAGTGGCTTTCCTCTCAAAAAGAAGGTGGACACCAAAGAGGACGCCCTTTGCTGGCACTCTTATACCAGGACTGGCTGCCCTTTCTTACCCTCTACGTAGTATCCTCTCAATCCAAACCTCCATGCTCTACACCCTTGGGCTGTCTCCTGGCCAATTTCTTGGTCTCCAGGGAGACGTTAAGCCTAAACATCTTGTTTTCTGCTGTACTCCACACTCTATGCCTCTGGGCCATCTACTGGCCAATTTCTCCACCTCCAGGGAGGCAGTTAAACTTGAATGCCTTGTTACAATGGATCCCAGTGGCCACAAGATGGCACTCAATTCAGATACTCACCAAAACAGCAAAAGCTGTAGAGATTCCTGTATGTTCAAGCCTTCTATCTCTGAATGCATTGTTTTGTCAAAATTGTCCTATGTCTCAAATTCTCCTGCCTCATGCTCAACCTCCCCTTCCAGACTTGGATCAGTCTTCTGATCCGTCAGCCCTCCACATTTCTCTCTCTTCCCTCTACCTGGTCTTGAGATGCTCATCCTCAGCCACCGAACACCTCTCCTCCCCCTTCATCAGGTAACAACCCCGCCTCAGCTCCAGCTTTTTATAACTCTTCCGTGAAGTGGCTGGTATGGAAGGAATTGTCTGAGTCCATGTACAGGGAGCAGGTCTGGATGGTGGCTCAGGTACATGCTCAAAATAATAGGCGGCCTGTGGGAGCCATTGCTGTTCCTTGCACAGACCCCAATTGGAACTACCAGGCTGGCCACGGGGATCAGGATCTCCAGGATAACGTGATCACACACTTGATTAATGGCCTCCAAAGGCTACTCACAAGTCAATTATGACAAGCTTAGAGGAATCACAGAGAGATCCACTGAAAATCCCAATGAATTCCTAACCCTCCTCTCTGAGGCTTTATGTGAATACACATGTATAGACATATACTTCCCTGCAGGCATGGTCCTCTTACACTCTCATTTCATTACCCAATCAGCCCCTGATATTTGGGGGAAAAAAAAGTATGAAAGAGATGAGGCCAAATACCAGCTCCTGGCTAATGCCATCCATGGCTCACATACTCCAAAGCCAGCTGCCTTAAGAGGCAAGCCACCTGAGAACTTCGAATGCAGTCCACTGGGCCACTTGGCACAGGCCTGTCATAACCCTAGGCCCCCGCCTGGGGCCCTGTCCTCACTACAAATGGCCGGGCCACTGGGGGATTGACTGTTCCACTCTCCAGAAAGGGAGTGGCCCAGTCCCTAACCCACAACCTTCAGCTTCACACACAGCCATCTCTACTGGAGCTTCTAGGATTTGCCCAGGAGGACGACTGATGATGCCCAGGGCCTGAGGCCCCCATCGAGATCACCACGCCTGAGCCCAGTGTAACTTGCTTTGTAGCAGGTAAGCCAATCTCTGTTGTCATTGATACGGGGGCCATTTACTCTACCCTTCCTAAATATGCAGGACCAACACCCCCATCTTCTATCACAATAGTAGGGGTCACGGGATGAGAATACCACCCACAGATCACTTAAGCCCTTTCCTTCACCATATGTCACACCCAGTTAAAACACAAATTCTTAATAATGCATCAATGCCCAACCCCCCTTACTGGGACAGGACATTTCTTTTCAAATTCAAAGCTACTCTTACCCTAAACACTTTAACTCCCATCTCCAGCAGGAAGTAGCTTCAGAAGAATGAGATCTCCACCCTTACCCCCTTTTTCCTATACTTAAAAGGCAGGAGTAATAGATCTGCAACATAACCAGTGCCATTTTAGACAAGCCTAAGTACAAAATGGCGCCATCCACTTCCTCTCCTCCTCTCCTCCTCTCCCCCATTGTCTTTTACAAGAAGCCTCATGGTTTTGGAGAAAATGAAACTTTTGGCATTTCTGCATGCACAGAACTCTCCATTCCCATGACCTAACTCAATCCCCAGCCCGCAATTACATCACCCAGCTCTTGGCACCAACATACCAATATAAGCTCCTACTCACTATGCTATGTTAGCCACTGTCCCCCATTTTCAGGGCAGCCCAGGGCTGTCCACTTTGAGTACAGCCTGGCAGATTTCTTTCTTTAATAAAGCTTGAATGGTACCTGACATCTCGGCTTACTTTCAATAATTTAATACATGTACTTATTGTGGGATAATCAAAACACTCATATACCTATAATCTCACATCGTTATTTCTTTGTGGTGAAGACGTTCAAAATCAACATTTTTAGCAACTTTGAAGTATTCAGTACATTACTATGAATTGTGTTCACCATGCTGTGCAATAAAGCACCAGAACTTACTCCTGCCTACCTGAAGCTTTGTTCCCTTTGACCAACATGTGCTCTTTTTCCATCCCCTGCTGTCCCATGCCTCAGTCTCTGGTAACCTCCATTCTACTCTCTGCTGTTAGTCTGATGGGAGCTGCCTTATAGGTGACTTGATGCTTTTCTCTTGCTGCTTTTAAGATTCTCTCTCTGTTTTTGAGCTTTGCCAATTTGACTGTAATGTGTCTCAGAGGACCTTTCTGGATTGAATCTGTTTTGGGATCTTTGAGCCTCCTGGATCTGAAGGTCTGTATCTCTCCGTATACCTGGGGAGCTTTCCACTACTGTTTCATCGAATATGTTTTTAATTCCTTTTTCTTTTTCCTTTCCTTCTGGAACATCTATGATTCAGATGTTTGCGCACTTTGGGTTGTCTGCTAGCTCTCTTAGATTTTCCTCATTTTTTACATTCTTTTTTCGCCCACCTGGTTTATTTTGAGAAGACTGTCTTGAAGATCAGAAATTCTTTTTTCTGTTTGTTCTAGCCTGCCATTTGTTTTTTCTTTTATCAGATGAACCCTTTAGCTCCATGAACTCAGCTAAACTCTTTTTTAGAACGTTAATGTCTTTGTATGTTTTCTCCTTCAGACCCTGGGTACTTTTTCTCATTTTATTGTGCTGAGTCTTCTTGTGTGTCATTGACTTTCACTAAGATTGTTGCTCAGAATTCCTTTTAAGTCATTTCAGGGGTTTCCTGTTCTGTAGGATCTGGCATTTGAGAATTACTATATTCCTTTTTAGTGTCTTATTTTCTTTTCTTATTATTTTTCTTCTAAACATAGTTTTAGTCTCTCACCTGGATTTCTGGTCATCTGATAGATCACTTGCTTCTTTTATTACTCTGGAGTCTGGAGTGGACTTTGAGGAGAAAGACTGACTCTTCCTTTTCCAGGCTCCTCTGGTGACACTCTTTGTGTCAGTGCAGTGGAATATGTGGTGGGCTCCCCTGCATGGTGGTCATGGCTGCTCTATGGTGGCAAGCTGTCCTTGTGGAGGTACAATCTGGTGGCTGCTGTTGTGGTCCACATCCACGGAAGTGGTTTGTGGCCTCTCTGTCCCTGTGGCAAAGCTCCCCCTGCCTTCTGCATGGGCCGGAGTGGGGTTGTTTGGGCCTGGGCATTTCCCTGCTTTGGGCCTCCCTGTCATGTCACCTGTGCTTTTCCTGCCTCCTGCATGGGTAGGGGTGGAGTTCTTCCCTTCATCTTGAGTGTGGTGGTTATTTATTTGTTTTACAAATTTCAGTATACACATCTAGAACCCTGATTTGGAGGCCTTGTCTAGCCAGGGGTCCCAAGGTCTTCCTTCAGACATACGACATCCACCCAGTTAATATTCACAAGTGTTGTTCTGCTGTCTTTGTGTGCACATCTGCAGGGACCCTCAATGATTCATCTATCACCCATGGAAAGAGTGAATCATTTACCAGCTGCTGGAATGTCCTGCATCATCTGTGCAGATCTCCGAATACCTGTAGGTCACAGATGCTGTGTGCAGCCACCTGGGCCTCCCATAGCAGAGGAGGATACGAAACTGTCTGTGGTAAAAGGGTTAAGAATATTTTTTAATTTTACTTACACAAAAGTTTTCTGATTTATCATGTTTGATGCCTCTATAATTACCATTTGTATGTATGTGCATGCATAATATGTAAGTTATTTGATTAGTTCTGTGTTGCTGATTTCATAACTGATTTCTATTACTCTTCTCAGTTTTGAAATCTGCTCTGAACATTCATTTAAGGTCACCTTGCATATGGGCCTGAGATAATTCTAGGACATATTAACTGGGATTAAACCCTGGCTCTACCATTTACTGGATATTTGACAAAATATTCTCATAAAAAAAGCAAGATTTATGTATTTGCTCTCACAGGTTATTTATGTGATTTTATGCATTAATATATATTTTAAAACTGCTAGAATGACATCCTGAGTATAGTCAGTGTTCAAAAAGAAGTGGTGTTGCTATTCTTAATATTATATTAAAGCCTGTGTGTCACATGCAATCCATTCAGTTCAAAGTCATCCAAGAATCCTTTCCTCGGTATTCTACCTCCGTGCTACTCAAAAGTGTGGCATTTGGACCAACGGCATTGGCATCACTTGAACTTGTTAGAAATGCTGACGCTCAGGACCAACCCAAGACACCTTTAGATCAGAATTTGCATTCTAATAAGATTTCCAGTTCATTGTTGCACACATTAAATCTTGAGAAGTATGCTTCTTACTCACCATGACTTTTTCTTCTAAGAAATATACATGACTTATCCTAAGTGATATAAATATGGTACTCTAAAATGTATATTCGTATACTGATGCTTTAATTTTATATTTTATATCCCATAAAAGCATAGTGTCTACACTGGTTATGTAAATCTTATGTCATTCTTTTTGTACAGAGTTAGGAAATACATTAGAGAATATTACAATGTTGACAAGTAGGTTACTGGATTATTCAGGTCACTTATATGAGTCAGGACATGTTTTCCTAACTCTGTAATTTCATCTTGGGTCAAATGAAGAACTCTGCCCATGGTCGTTGTGTTATTTGTTTATTAATTTTTGTTTCAGGGACTGTCAGCATTCGGAGATGTGGCCGTAGAATTTTCTCCAGAGGAATGGGAATGCTTGGACCCTGCTCAGTGGAATTTGTGTAGAGATGTGATGTTAGAGATCTACAGAAATCTGGTCTCCCTGGGTGAGGATAACTCCCCTCCAGAATTCCCAATCCACACCAAGGTTTTTATTTCCTTTCTATGTAGAAGGTCTCTTGAGAGATTGTGCTTTGCATATATGCATTTCAGATTTCTGTTTTCAGGGCCGGCCCGGTGGCGCACTGCTATAGTGCGCCGCTTGGGAAGCGCAGTGGCGCTCCCGCCGAAGGTTCGGATCCCACATACAGACCGGCCGCTCACTGGCTGAGCGAGGTGCGGGGGCAACGCCGAGGGTTGCGATCCCGTTGCCGGTCCTGGTCCAGTACGGGCGCGACACTGAGGGTTGTGATCCGTTGCTGGCCACGAAAAAAGACAAAAAGGAAAAAAAAAAAAAAGATTTCTGTTTTCAAGAAAAAAAAAGTTGGGGTTTGTTGGTGGAAAAGAAAACCTTCATGATGCTTCATCTTGACGTTACTCTTCCCTTTCTTGAGGTGATCTTTATCCTTCACTCTAATTTAGTAACAATTCTAGAAATTCAGTGGCATAAAATATTGTCGCCCACACTTTAAAATACATTTCCCCCTTTTGTATTTGATTCGGTAGTAATTGGAAGTGGAGGTCAAGATCCACAAATTTGTAATGCTTTCAAAATATTCTAATGGGTGTGCCAGGAAAGTATTTTGGGATATAGTTTTGTACAGTCTTCTAGAGTGTTCTCTGTTCTCCACTGAGCACAGAATTAGATGGATTAAAAAAATTTCGTCAAGAGTCATGTGACTTTTTCTGATAAAGCAGGCCTTCCTGTCTTTAAGCTGGACCTGGCCATCTTTTTGGAACAGAGGAAAGAATACAGGAATATGCAGAGAGAATTGACCGTCGCCAACCCAGGTAGGTGAGCATACGTGAGCAGATAACACAGGTCAGGACAGGTCCAAAGGTCAAAGAAGAACCAGACCTTAAAGTGGGAATTGGGAAGATCTGCTCCAGTGAAAATAATTTTGGGGGAGCCTAGGTTTATTTCTCTTGTTCTCACAGAGGTACATCTTCTATTTAGTGCTCTTACAGTTTTCTGATCACTTTTCTTCCCCTTCAGTTATCTTTTGTCAAATTAATAGTGAGAGCTAAAGCTTTCTTTATGGTCTCACGATCTGACTGCTCTTCCATTGATAATGCAGACCTGGGTTAATCTGGGCATTTGTCTGAGGACCTCTATGTTAAGTCATTTTAAGTTTTTTTTGTTTGTTTCATGTCAGAAGTGTGTGATAGGTGTGGTGAAACATACTGGGATTTAGTTCAAAAATCCTAGAAACAGTGTAGACAGATGTCACATATTTCCAATCCCATGAATTTTTCAAAGGCAATTATACAGAAATTCGGACTCAGTAATTTCATCTTAGCACAAAGCATCTCCTTAAATAGAGGAAAATCTAACCCTATATTTCACCTCTAAGTTTTCTTTTTTTTCTAGCCTAAAATAAGATAGGAATTTAAGTAAATTCTGCAACTGTGAAGTGGTGTAGTACATTTCTTAGTATAGAGAATTCTTAACTAGTGTCCATGGGAGCTTAGAACATTGGCTAGCATGTAGTAAAGTTCTGAGTATTGCTTTACATCTTATCAGTACATAATTTTGTCTGATTTAGTATGAAGCTTACTGAGAATGTGTCCTCTGTTTTTTCTTGCTTTTTTGCCCCTCTCCTCCGTTTCTTCTTCACTTCCCCCCCTTTTTTTTTTCATGACGTGGATTTTTTGCAAATATAAATTGTATATGTTAAAGCTGTACATTGTGATGAGTTGATATAAGTATACATTGTGTAATGATCAACATGTTAACTAACACAGTCATCATCTCACACAGTTACCATATTTTTTTGTGGTGGAAACAATGTGCTCTCTTAAAAAATTCCAAGTGTACAATACATAGTTAACTATGCTCACAATGTTTACATTAGATCCCCCAAATTTATCTTGTAACTGAAAGGTTATACCCTTTGATCAGTTCCATCTCACTACCCCTAGCTGTCAGCACCCACCATTCTGTTTCAGTTCTACCTTTTTTTCTTAGATTTTACATGTAACTTATATCAAAATATTTGTATTTTTTCTGTCTTATTTCAGATACCATAATGTCCTATCAGGTTCATCCATGATGTCACAAGTGGGAGGGTTGCCTTTTTCTTTATGGCTGAATAATATGTATATGAAGGTACTTTAAAAAGTTAATGGCAAGAGTCAAATTATCTTTTCATTTTATTTTTCCAAGAACTTCTTGAGGTATCCTCATTTATACCACATGTTACTTATCCATTGTTCTGTCAATGGATCTTTAGGTTGTTTTTATATCTTGGCTATTGTGAATAATGTGCTGTGAACAACGGGGTACAGAAATTTCTTTGACATACTAGTTTTATTTTCTTTGTGTATATACCCAGGTGTGGAATTGAATGATGGCAAAGTAGTTCAATTTTTAATTTTTGGAGACGCCTCCCCCCATTGTTTTCATATGGACTGGATCAGTTTACATCCCTACCCATAGTGTAGGAGAGTTTCTTTTCTTCCACACCCTCAGCAACATTTGTTATCTTGACTTTTTGATAAAAGCTATCTTAACCCTGTGAGGAGGTATCTCACTGTGGTTTGATTTACATTTCCCTGATCATTAGTGATGCTGAGCAGAACCTTTTCATAAAGCCATTTGCTAATTTCACATCTTCTTTAGGGAAATATATATTTAGGTCCTTTACATATTTTCCAATTAGTTTTACTACTTTTTAAAATTTTTTGCTTTTGAGTTTTGTTAGATCATCATTATTTACCAGGTATATTTTCTTTTTTTTTTTTTTTGTCTTTTTGTCTTTTTTCGTGACCGGCAACGGATCACAACCC